TTTCTTCTTGTCTTGCACTTTTTTTCTTTATTTTTACATTCAGAATGCTTTAAAAATTCCATTTACGAGACAATTGTTTATAATAAAATTCTATTCAATCGGTAGACTTATAACGATTGAAAACAATGTTTTTGTTTGAGTTTGTGTTTGACCAATTCGTAAAAAAAAACCCCAAAAAAACAAAAAACTAATTAAGACATGCGTGTCCGTCAAACTTAAACAATAATCTTTGTCAATTTTATTTTTCAGTCTTTATGATGGTCGATACTTGATCTATCTCTTACTGTTACATCCCCGGGCAACGCCGGGCTCTACTGCTAGTGCTGAATAGAGTTTCGCCAACGGTTGACAACCAGATAGTGACCATAATTTTCTGTTCGTGAAATTTCACTTTCCTAAATTGTTTGGGTGCTTGACCATGATCAAGCCACCGAGCTAATCGTTTACGATCGTCATAAAGGAGCCATTTTTGATAGCAAGAAACGATTCAATCAAGAAATGGCTCATTCGACATTCGAGGATAGAGCATCGAACACACTTCAAAATGTCGATCACTTTGACTTTATCTGAGCTTATATCCCAACAAGCACACAAGTCGGGAGTAAACCTGTTCATTGCAAGAGGCAACGATTCAGGGACTACTTGGTGATGTAAAAAATACGAAGTAGCATTAAAATATTGATAGATGAATTCCAGATGTCTTCCAGAAAAAAAAGCCAATTCTATAAAACCGGAAGAATTTAAAGCATTTAATTCCAGGTAAAACACTTATAACACGAGGAGAAAGTACAATACAAGAACAGGTTTCAGAAAGATACAAGATGGCGATAATGTCACTAAGAGTCAAGGATTTACAGGGAGCGAAAGTGAGAAATTTAGTGAGAAGAAAGGGCACTAAAAAACAGGTTTAAGGAAAACAGAAGATGACGAAAGTGTCACTAAGTAGCTAGGGGTTATTAAGAGTGAAAAATATTTCGAGAAATTTAGTGAGGAGAAAGGACAATAAAAGAAAAGAATTTCAGGAAGAGAAAAGATGGCAATAATGCCACAAAGATACAAGGTGCCACTGAAAATGGAAGATTATGCAAACGTATTAGTGATATGAAATGATAATAAAAGAACAGGTTTCAAGAAGATAGAAGATGTCGATACTGCCAATACGCAAGAGGTTGCAGGGGTTGAAAGACAATGAGAAGACATAATGTGGACAGCTTCAAATATGGAGAGGTTGTCGATAATGCCAGTAAAACGTAAGTGGTTACTGGGAGTAAGGGAGAGTGTGAATACTTTAATGAGAAAATACAATAAAAGAACATTTCCGGAAGACAGGCGATGGAGATTCTGCCACTAAGACGCAAGGGGTTACTGGGAGTGAAAGAGAATGAGAAGAATTTAGTTAGGGAAAAAGAAAATAAAAGAAACTCACTACAATGGCTACATCTACTGCAAGGAAAGTTGGATCATTGTGTCGGACCAGAAGGTTTTTCTCGTCAGAGTCCATTTTGCGCGTTTATAAATCTACCATTCAGCCGTGCATTGATAAGTGTTGCCATATCTGGTCTGGTGTTCCTGTTGTTCATCTCGAGATTCTTCACATAATCCGAAGAAGAATCTGTAATGTAATCGATCTTGACTTGCTATTTCATCTTCAGTCATTTTCTCACCGACATGAAGTGGCTTCCCTCTGCCTTTTCTGCAAATATTTTCATTTTCTTCGACGAGCTTTTTTCTCTGGTGCCCCGACGACATGGATTTAATCGTGCGACTTGATTGACATGAAAGTACCACTTTTTTATTGTTAAAATAATTAAATATAACCGCCACATCTACTCCGACATTTTCTCTTATCGCACTTTCCTATTGTTCAACTCCCTTCCGTTAATTGCTTCCCTGCAATCGTCATAAATTTAAATGAAAAGTCAATCGCCATCTTCTGCCGTCTTGGACCCCATTCATCTTTTATTCTTTCCTCAATCTCCACCCCAAATATCTAATATTTTCTCTCACTTTCACTCTCTAACACTCTCCGTACTCGTGGCATTCCAGCCTTGCTTGGGGTAAAATGCGTAAAGAAAGGTTGTGACTTCCTCGAATCAGATCTATTTTGGTCATTGGGATAATTATGTGCTAGATAACCGCCATATAAGACGATCGTCTTATACGGGGGTTGATTGACTTTCCTCACGACTATGAACTATACAGAGTAGTACAACCGATTCGGCGTGAGGAGGCTATATGCTTGGGATGGCGTGTCCGAGTAGAGTGTAACATCCGTTCTTTCAACGTCTTGGCTTTATGAGACGATGAAGTCTCATTTTATTTGCATCGTGGAGCTAAGACGGAAATAAACACCAAGGCAGTCAATCATAGGGAGAGGGATAAATAGAAAAAGAGAAGGAAAGATTCAAAATTATGAACATGTAATGGTGGCTTAAGAGCGGGAGGGAAGATGATCCAAGGATTTATTCTCAGGAGGCTTAAAGGTTTATGTTGACCTATTTAATATGACATAAAAAATGGTTTCTGAGTCGGATGATCTGCGCATCCTTCCGGTTAATAATTTAACCCTTTGAAAATAAGTATTTAACATTTTTCAACCAACGTGTCGCGTTCCCGCCGAGGATAAAAAATGCTTCGTCATCCCTTTGTAGCAAGGTTTCTAGACCAGTAAGCAAGTAAGGAGAGAGAGACGAAAACACATAATGGAAGTTCAAGATGGTGCGTCTTAAAAAAAGAATTCTTTACTCATTCAAGCTACGTGACTGATACTAGCTTCCATGAGATTTACATCTTCTTGGGTATATATTATCCTCTGACATGATGTGGAAATATTATATTGAATCCATTACTAAGCCTGCTGCTAAGTATCTTGGTTGATTGTGTCATTTTAGACAATTTTTCTCTTTAGAATGTATCTTACATATCTATAAGTCTACCATTCATTCATATTTTGAATATCACTACCAAATATGGTCAGGTGCGCCTGTAGTATATTTAGAGATTCTTGATAAAATCTAAAGAAGAATCAGTAATATTATTGGTCCTGATCTGGCATCTCGGCTTCAGTTACTTTCCAAGCGTCGTAATTTAGTTTCTATGTGCCTTTTCTGTAAATATTTTCATGGTAATTGTTCGAATGAATTCATCGCTATGATCTCTAGACTTAATGGATTTAAGCGCAGTGCAAGATTGGCGGCAGCGTGTCATCAGTTCACAACTAAACTGGTAGGATCTAACCGTAAGTTCTATGCTAGCAGTTTCTTTTCTCGCGCTTCTTGCTTGTCGAACTCCCTTCTCACTCCATGCTTTCCAGACAACTTGGATCTTGAAAAATTTAAATGCAACGTCAATCGTTATCTTCTGTCTTCTTAATTCTTGTTCTTTTATTTTCCTCTCTCCTTAATAGTGTTTTCTTTTTCTCATATTGTCAATTTAATCTTTAAAAATTGAAATGCAATGTCAATCATTATCTTCTGTCTTCTTAATTCATGTTCTTTTATTGTCCTCTCTCTTTAATAGTGTTTTCGTCTTCTCATATTGTCAATTTAATCTTCAAAAATTGAAATGCAATGTCAATCATTATCTTTTGTCTTCTTAATTCTTGTTCTTTTATTGTCCTCTCTCCTTAATAGTGTTTTCTTTTTCTCATATTTTTAATTTGATCTTCTGAAATTTAAATGCAATGTCAATCGTTATCTTCTGTCTTCTTAATTCTTGTTCTTTTATTGTCCACTCTCTTTAATAGTGTTTTGTTTTTCTCATATTCACAAATTGATCTTCAAAAATTTAAATCTAATATCAATCGTTATCTTCTGTCTTCTTAATTCTTGTTCTTTTATTGTCCACTCTCTTTAATAGTGTTTTCTTTTTCTCATATTCACAAATTGATCTTCAAAAATTTAAATCTAATATCAATCGTTATCTTCTGTCTTCTTAATTCTTGTTCTTTTATTGTCCTCTCTCCTTAATAGTGTTTTTGTTTTTTCTCATATTCATTGAGTGTTTTTCTTTTCTCTTTTCTTCTCAATTTGATTTTCTAATTTGATTTTTTAAATGCAATGTCAATCGTTATCTTCTGTCTTCTTAATTCTTATTCTTTTATTGTCTCTTTTATTTATTTTTCTCTGTTTAATAGTGTTTCAGCCTTCGTTTCATAAGATTAACCATTTTATCCAGAAATGTGTTTCCTATTTATTACAAATAAAATACAACCATATTATTCAGGGATGAAATTACGTAGCAGGAAAACGTAAATATCTTTCCCCAGAATGTTCATGTCTAAAATAAAATCTAATATTAACATTTAGCCGAATATATTAACCAAACATCATCTGTTTTCATAATATCAAAAAACATAAATAGATACAAATATGCTTGATGTTACAATTTTCTTGATTCGGCCATTTTGAAAATCTTACTGGAGTCGGCCATATTGAAAATCTTTCTTGATTCGGCCATTTTGAAAGTATTGTATCAAATCAAATATGTTTACGCTTCCTGACAAAAACGTTAAGCAAAGGAAATATTAACTTAAATAAAAAGAGCAATTCAAAATCAGGATTGAAACGTGATCACTGAATGCACTTTTGGGATTGTTTTATCTTAATTTCTTCAACAATAAGTCGAAATCAATAATTTAGACAGTGACCGATCCAAGGACATAGAAAGGGTGGAATTAAGTAAGGTTAATTTGCCGTCGTAAGATCTCTGCTATCCATGAAAAGAAAAGGACCTAATAATTAACATTTGTCATCCAGATGGGGACTCTTGTTGTCAGTTAAAGCACAAGCGAGAATTATACGATTGTCACCGGGTGAGGAATATTAAACAGCCGGCCTTGGACTAGGCACTGGTTTTCCGGGGATAGCAATTTATTCCGTCTGGCATTTTAAGGTGAGAGTATAAATACAGAGAACGTCGTGTGTTCGTCCTCACAAGAAATTTCAGGTTGAAAGCGAGCACTTCGCTCTTTTCTCTGTGTTCACCGTCAAAATTTCACTATGCCTAACTACACCCTCCATTACTTCAATGGCCGTGGACGTGCCGAGATCATCCGTATGATGTTCAATATGGCCGGTGTCCCGTATAATGACAAGAGGTACGAATTCTCCGAGTGGGACCGTTGCAGGAATGGTAAGGAACTCTTTGATTTATTATTTGCTATTGTCTCAGTTATCATTTGATAATATTAACCATTTTATCCAGAAATGTGATTCCTATTTATTTCAAATAACACCCACACACTCACTCTCTTTCTTTCTCTCTCTCACACACACACACACACACACACACACACACACACACACACACACACACACACACAGACACATATAAATGAAAGACAAGAGAAGACTATGCTTAGATTAAGCCGACGCGTTTTGCCATCCGACGGACTTTATCAAGGCAAATGTGATGATTTTATTTTACAACATGTAAATATTTAACAGTTACTCAAAATTTTTAAATCTATGAACGCCCATAAATATTCATTAGGTTAATTGAAAGGCTTAGGCGTTAGACCCTAGATTACGTCCTACAGCATTTTCGAAAGGAAATTATAAAATTTAAAGACGCCCATAAATTTTCTGTTAACCTGATGAATATTTAGGAGCGTCTTTAAATTTAAAAAGTCCCTTTCGAAGATGCCGCATACCGTAATCTAAGGTTTAAATGCCAAGACAATTCAGTTAACCTGTTGAATATTAATGAGCGTCTTCATTTCTACTCTGTAACCTAACCTAATGTTAACAGAAATGAATTATCGAGAAAGATCGTCGAAGATATGAGTTTATAAGCAGTACTTTGAACTGTGCTAACGGAAAGGTTCTCTGTGACTGAATAGTTACCAGCATGTCAGGCTGTATGATAATTTCCGTATGGGATTCGATTCCTGTCGGATAGCGCATATTCTTTTACGAAATTTCTCAAACATTCATGCCGTTAAATGTAATTAATACTGTTTAATTAAAACAGAGCATTTACGTTAGTTGTATCCATAAAATAACGTATAAACAGAAAACATAATAATATTTGTCGAGTTTAATCCATTTCATGTAATACATATATATATATATATATATATATATATATATATATATATATATGAAGAAAATATACTGAAAAAACATAAAAGCAATACCAATAAATATAAAATGGACATAAAAGCAATACCAATCCAAACAGATAGCTGAAATCTTTTATAAGATCAGCGTTCCGTTTAAATATGATCACGTCGAACGCTGATCTTATAAAAGATTTCAGTTATCTGTTTGGATTGGTATTGCTTTTTATGTCCATCGTCTTCATGTTGAATTGCATATGGTCTACGTTAATTATGTTTTATGAATATATCCTGAAGATGGTCTATTAGACCGAAACATCCGACGTTGACATTAAACATTAAAACAGCATAATCGCATATTAGGATTTTTATTTGTTTTTTCAGTATATTTTTCTTCATACTGTCGGATCTATATCCATATATTTGCTTATATATATATATATATATATATATATATATATGTGTGTGTGTGTGTGTGTGTGTGTGTGTGTGTGTTCTGTCCACATCACAAGAATGATGCCCTGGGTAACTTCAAGTGTTGTTATCAAGATGACTAAGGATTCATTATTACACAGGGTTGAAATCAGAGTGATTTTTCTCCTAAACAAACCGCCAATCAATGCTAACCACCTCTGTCTACCTGTATTCAAACAGGTGGTAAATAATAAGGCAGGGACGTTAAACTACCTGAAGTATTTGATATACCAGCGTACCCAGGTAAAAATAATTAAATAAATAAATAAACGCCGAAAATAAAACAAAAAACAATTAAATAATATATTTCTATATTTACAATTTGTTTTTAGATTATACTTCAATTCATAATTTGTTTAGATTTCCTCTTCAAATTTCTTTGAAATTCCACTGGATTACAAATATACGAAGCCAAATATATGCAAGAATTATTTCTTTTCTCTCCAAGAGAAAACATGTCTACCCTAGCGAGTGAAATCTTCGCTGGAACTTTAAAAAAATTGGACATAAAATTATTCAGTATCTTTCTGAGATGAGATATGTAGACTATTTACATTATTCGGACTATTGTGCTCATCTTTGTCGCCATGAATAAACGGTTCAGTTCGACATTTCAACCACCTGAAGAAGGCCGGAGCCTACAACGGCAGAAACGTTGTGATAAATATAGCAACAAAGATAAGGATGATAGTCCGAACAATGTAAATAATGTACATAATACCTCATCTCAGAAATATAGACAGATACTTTGGATTTCTGTTGTATACACATTTCCTTCCGGGTCCCAACCAGAGACCGAAGTTCAGAAATAGCTTCAAGATATTTTTCACTGATCATTTTTGTAAAAAAATAAAAATAAAATCGCACACATTTTACATAAATAAAGCTCTTCATTATGAGTGAACTGAATTTGTGAGTACAATTATTTTTATTTCTTTGAGACATGGGCCCCGACGAATGTCATCAGTGAGCTTATCAGAACATTTTATAATCAATCTGAGTTCTCCAAACACAACTAGAATTATTGATGTCCTTATGTGCCACATTTTTAAGATTTCTACTTCAAAATACCTGTATTTTGATAGTTTTTGTAAAGATTTCAAAGTTACATTACAATCTACAGGAACTGTCATATCAATTAGTAAGCACTTTCTGTTTTTATGCAGTTTGATCACGATGTCTAGGCGATTAGCTTCGATTTTTCTGTCTGTATATATTTTAAAGTCCCATATAATTGTCACAGATCCTATCTATTTAACCGGGTCTGGGTGATGTTCATACCAATTTCTTGCAGTTTTGTTGCCGTAAAAGTGTAGAGCCGTATTTTAAACCATATGTAGGAAACAATTATTTCTTTATTCTTCAAGAGAAAACATGTAAATGGTAATGATTCTAATCAATTACAAAACAATATTTCTTTAAGGTTTAGGCTACCATGAATCCCTTTCATGTGTCTATCGGAACCTTTCCCCATGAATCCGAGGGCTCCAACTACAAATGAAATTATTGATGCACAAAGACAGAACAATCAAATACAATCACCCAGACATCTTGATAAAATACCACAAAGACAGAATCTGCTTTCTTATTGACATGACAGTCCCTGTAGATTATAATGTATCTTTGAAGATCTTCAAGAAAATTATCAAAATACAAAGATCTTGAAATGAAAATCTCAAAAGTTAAATAGATAGGATCTGTGACAATTATATGGGACTTTAAAATATATACAGAAAGGAAACAGATCATTGTTGTAAAGAACAAAAAAATAAACTTAAGATCACACACATTTCTATAGATAAAGCTCTTCGTAATTTGTGAGCTGTAATTGGGAGTACAATGTTTTGTACTTCTTTAAGGTTTAGGCTACCATGAATCCCTTCAATGAGTCTATCGGAACTTTTCCCCATGAATCTGAGGGCTCCAACTACAAATGGAATTATTGATGTCCTCATGTGACACATTTTTGAGATTTTCATTTCAAGATCCTTGTATTTTGATAATTTTCTTGAAGATCTTTAAAGATACATTATAATCTACAGGGACTGTCATGTCAATAAGAAAGCATATCTTTGTGGTCTTTGTGCATTGTAAAATTTGATTGTTCTGTAAAATGCAAAAAATGCCATAAAATTGTTCCAGATCCTATCTCGGCAATCGGGTCTGGTTGATGTTCATACCATTTTCTTACCGTTTCCTTTCCGTAAGGGATTGAATATTTTCCAGTGAAGATAATGGACCACTCTATCATGCCGAGTTTCATATTCAGTAGGTGCTAACACCGTGCACCTTGATAAAAGATGCTTATTTGTTTCTGGATATTAATCACAGAATCTGCATTTCCGTTTTTTGTGAGGTTCCAAAATAGCAGACATTTTTTAGTAATAGATTTTTGAATACTTACAATGGCCGCTTGACAATAATGATAATAAAAATCAGTAACTTTGTCACAAAGAACAACACAAGCTTTAAATAAAAAACAAAATGGTGTCATATTACATAATTTATTACTAAAAGTTTAAATAAATATATTTTCTAAAACGTTCACAAAGTTGATATTGGTGTGAAAAAAATTAAACATATTTTGCTAGGACTTTTAAAGTTGTATTTGTTTATTTTTATAAATCTTAACAATTACGCTCCCCAAAAAAGTCCGCATATACCGGGTGTAACTGCGAAATTGTCCAAATCGTGTAACAGCAAAATTAGCCAATTTTTAGATTAAGCTCAGAACCGGAGTAGCTGAGAAATGATTAAAGATATCTTATTGGAATTACCCGAGCTTTTTATAAGACAATAACTATAAGAATGTATAAATACTCTCTAAGTTTATCAGAAGAATCCGGATGATTAGATCATAAACGAAAATGACCTATTCATCATTAATTAATCAGAGTTAAGGAACGGAAGCTCATGAAGCATTGAAGTAAAGTTTATATATATATATATATATATATATATATATATATATATATTTCAGGATTCTTTTCCAACTTATTCAAGATGATCTCGCCCTCTCTACCCTTATAACTTTCTGTCATGGATTAACAAGGTGTCTCACAGGTTTTATGCATATGCATATATATATATATATATATATATATATATATATATATATATATATATATATATATATTTTTTAATTTTCACTTTTTCACTGCTCTTTGGACTATCATAGCTGAAACTCCTCTCTGACATACTAAATGTGGCATGAATTGAGTTGGATCTTTTCTAATTGATCTCTTAATAGCTCGAATTTGAAATGATAATTGCTCTTCTGGTTGTGACGTCCTAATGCAATTTTCCTCTCTACATTCTCCATTATTCTCAATTCTCTTGCTGCTTCTTCAATGGACTTTGAAAATGGAAGCCAGAGTATGAATTTTGGTACCATTATTGAAGGCGCGAATGATCTTTTTCCTCACACCATTTCTCATTTGGGAAGACAGTGGATTTGATACAAAATAATTTTAATCTGCTCATTTTTTAGCCGAATAATCCAAAGACAAATGGTGTCAATGTTACTAAACGTCTTATCTGAAAATGTGTCAAAAGGAAACTTAATTACTTTCGTGGCTTTTTTTTTTTTAGATATTACACATTGCGATGGATAAGTATGGTTTACACGATTCGGACAATTTTGCTGTTACACTCAGTATATCAACATTTGAAAGAAACACCGAACATCATATAATTAAAATAATAATTTTCTAAATTTACATCTTTTTCTAGATTATCCTGGTATGTGTCTGCCTTGTCTGGAGATGGACGGTGGCATGAGGATGCCTGAGACCATGGCCATTTGCAGGTACCTGGCCCGTGAATTCGGTAAGTTGGGTCATAATACACAAATTAATACAAGAGTCGTCATTAACTAAAAAAGTGTATATATATATATATATATATATATATATATATATATATATATTGCAGCAAAAATCAAAAATTACCTTATCATAGAGGATAGCCTATTTCAGGCCGTTCTGTACGCGGCTATCATCAGCCCCTAAGTGTCTGTCTCGGAGAATTGTTTTAAATTTATTTTCAATGTCAGTCCTCCTCTAGTAGACGCTTCGTTAATGAGAATCGGCTTGTGGAATGAGAATGTGTTTGCTGTAATATTCTCTGTTATAATAAATGCATCGAACTCTCTGGATCAGTTTTAATATCTGATATTACTAGCATACATCCGGATTATATACCAACGGATCGATTACCTGTACTATATATATATATATATATATATATATATATATTGTGTGTATTTAGGCAACATTTTTTCAATATTGTTACATTGTCTGTATTATTATCATCATCATTATCATGGTTGCCACATTTATTATCATAGCTATTATTGTCATTATTAGCCCCCCCTTTTCATAATTGCGTCATTAAGGCTATCATGACATGAAAATCTAAATAGTCTCCCATCATATAAATGTCACAAACGTGAAAATACGAACATTTAGAACCGAAGAAATCAATAGCTTATACAAAATTTTAAAAGTATATATTTAGAAATGACTGATTAAAACATTTATTTTCAATTCTCAAAGGTTTCTACGGAAGCAGCAGCATGGACAAGTTTAGGTGTGACTACATCTGCGATTGCTTCTATGAACTCATGCACGATTACATGAGGTACTTCCACTGGAAGAATGGACGCTTCAGGGTGAGTCATTTATTTTGAATCTGTTCAATATGTCATAACTACATCTTTCAACTCTCTGTAGAAATGGATAAACAAAGAGTCTATAGTAAAATAATCATTAAGACTAAAAGACATTAGCTAAGACGAGTGTCGATTGCTTTGTAAATAATGACTGCTATGAAATCATGCACGATTACATAAGATACTTCCACTGGAAGAATGGACGCTTCACGGTGAGTCAGTTATTTCGAACCTTCTTAAAATTTCTTATCTACAACATTCAACACAATACCTATAGAAATAGTTTAGCTCGGAGGCTATGTTCAAATGTCTGTCATTACTAAAAGACATTATCTAAAACGAGAGTGAATTGCTTTGCAAATAATGAGTGTTTCAATGAAATCAGGCACAATTTTGTGAGCTACTTGCACTGGAAGAACGGACGCTTCAGGGTAAGTCAGTTATTTCAAATCTATCCAACATTTCATATTTACATCTTTCGACACACTATCTGTAGAAATTGATAAGCAAAGAGGCTATAGTAAAATGATCATTAAGACTATAAGACATTAGCTAAGATGAATGTCGTATGTTTTGTAAATAATGAGTGCTTCTATGAAATCATACGCGATTACATGAGGTACTGCCACTGGATAAAACAACATTTTTTCATCAATTATTTACGTAGAGATTAAAAAAAAATATTGTTACCATGAAAAGGAATCGTAATCTAAGAAAATACTGTAAAAAAAATTGCAATTTATATTTTAATGTAATTACCTGCATCTATGTGGACGGTCTACCGTATTTTGTATGTATGTATGTATGTATCTATTAGGTCTCTCTCAGTATCTCTCTCTCTCTCTCTTTCTCTCTGTCTATATCTTTTTCTTATTCTGTCAAATTTAATTCAACCTGATAATTATCTATCTAATTATCTCCGTCGGTTCATATCTATCTATCTATCTATCTATCTATCTATCTATTTCTATCTATCTATCTATCAGATCTATCTATATCTATCTAAATCTATCTATATTATCTATCCCTATTCATCTATCTATCTATCTATCTAAGCCTGTTCATCTATTTATCTATCTATCTATCTATCTCTCTATGAAAGCCTGTTCATCTATCTATCTATCTATCTATCTATCTATCTATCTATCTATCTATCTATCTATCTATGTAAGCCTGTTCATCTATCTATCTATCTATCTATCTATCTATCTATCTATCTATCTATCTATCTATCTTGCCCAGTGTGTTCATTTTCTCTCTGCTATCTATCTATCTATCTATCTATCTATCTATCTATCTATCTATCTATCTATCTATCTAAGTTAGTCTATCTATCACAGTTTGCCTTTATCTATCTTCCTTTCCCTCTATGTATCAATCACAGTCAGTTTTTCTCTCTCGTTCTCTATCTAAGTTCATTATCACTGTATCTCTCTCCCTTTCTCTCTGTACCTCTTTTTCTCATTCTGTCAAATTTATTTCAGCCTGATAATTATCTATCTAATTATCTCCGTCTGTTCATATCTATCTATCTATCTATCTATCTATCTATCTATCTATCTATCTATCTATCTATCTATCTCATCTCATATCTATCTGTCTAGGCTTCAATATCTATCTCATTCTTCATCTATCTATCTATCTCTATCTATCTATCTATCTATCTATCTATCTGATTGTGTTCATATCTATCTATCTATCTATCTATCTATCTATCTATCTATCTATCTATCTTGTATGCATGCATGTATCTATCTATTTATCTATCTATCTATCTATCATCTATCTGTCTCAGCTTCTTCTATTTATCTATCTATCTATCTCATCTCTTCATCTATCTATCTATCTATCTATCTATCTATCTATCTATCTATCTATCTATCTATCTATCTATCTATCTATCTCAGCTTCTTCATATCTATGTCTCAGCTTCTTCATATCTATCTATCTATCTATCTATCTATCTATCTATCTATCTATCTATCTATCTGATTGTGTTCTGTTCATCTATCTATCTATCTATCTATCTATCTATCTATCTATCTATCTATCTATCTATTCTATCTATGTCTCCAATATCTATCTATCATCTATCTATCTATCTATCTATCTATCTATCTATCTATCTGATTGTGTTCATATCTATCTATCTATCTATCTATCTATCTATCTGATTGTGTTCATATTATCTATCTATCTATCTATCTATCTATCTATCTATCTATCTATCTTGTCATGCATGTATCTATCTATTTATCTATCTATCTATCTATCATATCTATCTGTCTCATCTATCTATTTATCTATCTATCTATCTATCTCAATCTTCATATCTATCTATCTATCTATCTATCTATCTATCTATCTATCTATCTATCTATCTATCTATCTATCTATCTATCTCAGCTTCTTCATATCTATGTCTCAGTTCTTCATATCTATCTATCTATCTATCTATCTATCTATCTATCTATCTATCTATCTATCTGATTGTGTTCATTCTATCTATCTATCTATCTATCTATCTGATTGTGTTCATATCTATCTATCATCTATCTATCTATCTATCTATCTATCTGATGCATGCATTATCTATCTATTTATCTATCTATCTATCTATCATATCTATCTGTCTCAGCTTCTTCATATCTATTTATCTATCTATCTATCTATCTCAATCTCTTCATATCTATCTATCTATCTATCTATCTATCTATCTATCTATCTATCTATCTATCTATCTATCTATCTATCTATCTCAGCTTCTTCATATCTATGTCTCAGCTTCTTCATATCTATCTATCTATCTATCTATCTATCTATCTATCTATCTATCTATCTATCTGATTGTGTTCATATCTATCTATCTATCTATCTATCTATCTATCTATCTATCTATCTATCTATCTATCTATCTATCTCATCTTCATATCTATGTCTCAGCTTCTTCATATCTATCTATCTATCTATCTATCTATCTATCTATCTATCTATCTATCTATCTGATTGTGTTCATATCTATCTATCTATCTATCTATCTATCTATCTGATTGTGTTCATATCTATCTATCTATCTATCTATCTATCTATCTATCTATCTATCTATCTTGTATGCATGCATGTATCTATCTATTTATCTATCTATCTATCTATCATATCTATCTGTCTCAGCTTCTTCATATCTATTTATCTATCTATCTATCTATCTCAATCTCTTCATATCTATCTATCTATCTATCTATCTATCTATCTATCTATCTATCTATCTATCTATCTATCTATCTATCACTAATCTCCTCTCTTTTCAATATATGAAGAGGTTTCAAAATATGCAGCCCATAGATCTCCAATTCCCGATGGAAATAATAAAAGCAGATTTAATCTTTCATAAATAATTCAATCTTAATAAAATAATTCCTGTTTGTTTTCATTCTCCCTTGTTTTTCTTCTTTTCCCAGTACAACATGAACGACTATGGCTTCGGAGGTGACAGTATGTGCAGCAACTACGACGTAAGTCATTTAACATTTCCTTTATCGTTTTCCCAGCACCCCGTCCACTTATACATATTATATCTTGATACTGGAAAGGTGGCTGTCGTGGCTTAAATAACTCTTATTTTACACCGGTGTTAAATCTCGAAGTGTAAGTCGAGGTAAAGAATCAGAAATTTGAATATATTTTTACAAGTTATATAGATCTCACGACGCACTACAATCTTCCCCGTTCGATTTCACTAATAAATTGCACCAGTTAATTCCTGTTTTGTTAGTTATTTTATCTCTTATATTTCCCGTCTTCCAAGTTTAAAAAATACTGACACACCTATTTCGACGACTGGCGCGGCATAATCTTCCCATTACTAATTGAATTATCATGAGAGAAGCCACAAGTTACAAATTATTTAGACCTTTATGTTACGAATTTGATTCTTTAACAAATTTTTTTGTTCATTTATTCTTTGAAATGTTTATTTATTAATATACGGCGGAAGGACGGAGAATGTAACAACCGAAAAATTACGTACAGTAAGAATAATATACACTTTATTTTGTTTTAAACATTGCGCTCTGCAACCTTCTTCATTTGGAAGCATTTCACCCCAAGCAAAGCGGGAGTGCCACTAGAACGCAATGGGTTACAGAGGGTGAGAGCAAGAGTAGAGTGTTTGAAAGGATAAAGAGAAGGACAGAGATCACGATCAAGGCATCAGAAGATGTCGATTGACATTACATTTGAATTTTTGAAGTCTGTAGCTATCAGGGAAGCAAGTAAGAGGAATGGAGCTTCAGTGTCGGGAAGTGCGAGAGAAGAAGCTGTTGGAGTAGAAGAGGCGGTTAAATTTAACTGTTTCGGCAGAAAAAGCGTGGGACTGAGATGCCAACCTAGTAGCACGCTTAAATTCATGCAGTTGGGAAACCAGTGAATGTAGCTCGTCAGAGCAGTTGCCATGAAAATATTTGTAGAAAAGACAGAGGGAGGCCATCTGTGAGAAAGTGACTTTAGGCGAGATGACATCACATTGCATCTCCATTTTGGGATTTTTTCGAAAACCTCGAGATGAAAAGCAGGGATAGCAGACCATATATGGCAACACTATTCTATGCATAGACGAATGGTTGATTTGTAGATTTGAAGGATGGACTCAGACGTGAAAAAAAAAACCTTCTGATGCGACACAGATAACCAACTTTCCTTGCAGTAGATGCAGCTATTGATTCAATGTAGTTGTTCCACCTCAGGTCAGTGGAAAACGTAAGACCAAGAACGGCGCAGAGAGACGCTCTCGTGGAGATGGACATGCTGATCTAGTCTTCAGCGGTAGATTTATTTCTTTTCCCGTTGTCCCTGTCCAGGGTTATTTCGTTTTATATCTTTTTAGATTTTTAATATTAAAATTTCTCCCAATACAAACCTCGGGAGTCACCCAAGCCAGATTTTGTTCTTAAAATAATAATGATGAACGAGCCGTGTGATATGAATGAAAGATGAGATGTAAAGTAGTAAGGATTTAGAGGATAGAAAGGATAGAAAAAGATTGACGCATGACTCGAAGAGATCAGGTTGTAGTCTTCCAGAAAGCACCCACGCGGGAGTGTGCTTCGCAAAGTGGCAATTCTTATTCTTGACTTTAAAGTTCTTCTGCATTTGGAACTGTGTGGAAGCAGCGTATTATTATCAATTTATTTCCTTTAGTGGAATTCTCTTTGATTTGTATCATGTTTTTAGAGCCGGCGATTCAATTAATTCAAGAAATTTTGTACATTTTTGGTATAATTATGTTCCCCATGTAAAAGGCCTGAGAGCCACTCAAGGGGGTTACTGATTAAGACGTACAGCTTATGTGGATTAACGCTAGACTTGAACAGATTAAGATTGTAATAATCGGGGAAACATTTTCTTGGGAGTCGGTTCCACCTAGCAGTGGTTAATGAGAAGAATTAGCTTGAGTGGAACTTACATCTCATCAATGGAATACGAAGAGAATGAAGGTGGTTAACTACAATTGGTGTGACATGGCAGGTCTTGGTCGTGAAGGTTAGAACTCATGGAACTAAAGAACGAATATGTCTGACCACTTTCCATGGCAATAGCGATAGAGCAGTAAGAGGCTTCCCACATTCTGCTGGTGAGAGAGAGGTTGAAGGCTGGAAATAATTTGCTACCCACAAGGACTATCGAGACCGTGGGTCCTAGCCGCGAAGGTTAGAACTGGTGGAACCAAGGAATCTAGTTCGTCTGAGAACTTTCCATAGAACAACGAGAGACTTGCGACATTTCGTCTGTGAGACGAAAAATGAACAGACCTGGCTAGATAGATAGATAGATAGATAGATGAATAGATAGATAGATAGATAGATAGATGAAAAAATGAACAGACCTGGCTAGATAGATAGATAGATAGATAGATAGATGAATAGATAGATAGATAGATAGAAAATGAACAGACCTGGCTAGATAGATAGATAGATAGATAGATATAGATAGATAGATAGATAGAAAATGAACAGACCTGGCTAGATAGATAGATAGATAGATAGATAGATAGATAGATAGATAGATATGATAACAGATAGATAGATAGATAGATAATAGATGAATAGATAGATGGATAGATAGATAGATAGATGGATGTAAATGAACACACCTGGCTAGATAGATAGATAGATGATATAGATAGATAGATAGATATAAAATGAACAGACCTGGCTAGATAGATAGATAGATAGATAGATAGATAGATAGATAGATAGATAGAAAAAATGAACAGACCTGGATAGATAGATAGATAGATAGATAGATAGATAGATATCGAAGAAAAGCATAAACTTACTCCATATCTTTAACAGAACATACAGAGTGCAGGGGGACTCATCAACTAAAAGATGAGCCCAAAATGTGATTTTCAGGTCGGGGACACTAGAATCAAGTGGACGCGGAAGTTTAAATATCTGGGAAGCCTTCAGACAGAAGACGGTAAATGCGACACTGAGATCCGTAGACGTATTGGGATGGCCAAGGACGCATTCCAAAAGCTGGGCAGAGTATTGCGAGACAGGAGAATTTCTTTGGTAACAAAGAAAAGAATACTGAGCTGTTACATGACATCTGTCCTTCTTTACGGTAGTGAATGTTGGACTATTTCCTCAAAGATGAAGAAGAGACCCGACGCAACAAATATATCGTTCTACAGAAGGATGCTGAGGATATCATCGACCGAGCTTCTGAGCAACGATGAGATCTTAAAGAGGATGCAAACAAGGAAGAAGCTTATACTAAACATCAGGATATGTCGCTGAAGTTCCTGGGACACAATGATGAGGAAGGAGGGTCTGGAGAATCTGATCGTCACGGGTCGAATTGAAGGAAAGAGAGACAAAGGAAACAAACGCATCACATACCTAGCGGCCTTAAGCAAATGGATGACAACACTTTGTCTGGGGGAGGTGACAGAAAAAAGGAATTTATCGAGAGCTGCAAGGGATAGAGGGAGATGGAGAACCATGATTGCCTACGTCCTGAAAGGACACGGCACATAGAAAGAAAGAAAAGGTAGGAGGATAGCAGTAGGTGTTAGGTTCTTATTACAGCGGTATAGGGTACTTTTCAGCCTCTTTATCAATGGATTGTATGTACGAATTCTACTTAAGGTCTTGGCTGAGTCCAAATAGGTTCTCAAGGATCGGGGGCCTTCCTGTTTGCTTTAAATATATGATTTTATTTTTAAGGAATATATATTTTAAGTTATAACTATTTTATTTGAAGTATTAGTGATGTCTCTATTCAATATTGTATCAAGTGCTAAATTCATTCATTTTTTGATATTTGTCTTTGGGTGTCAACCAATCGGTTCAGGAGAAACAAATAAAAAATCCACGTGCCAAAACTAAGTACAATCGCAAACCTGTTGTAAACACTCCAGAAGGCAACGTAGTAACGATAATGGGGTCACAACCTTCCCCTCACAGCAGCAGAAACACACTTTTCCCTTACCAAGCTCCAAATTGTACTGATATTTAATCTATATAGAAATACACAATTATGGCACAAGGCCTAAAAGAGGGAAGTGGTTTGAGGCTGGTTTTCACTTACTATCTTATACCTAGCTAATCAGATTCACACCCAGTCATTCGTTACACTTTGTACATCCACCACAAGAACTCATCCGTCATCATTCAATCTTCCATTTACCACAATACTGCATACTCTGAGGGAATCTACAAATATCACCCCATGACATAAAAATATAATGAACATAATATTCTATATATAAAAAACTATAAATGATACGCTATGAGGGGAGATGAACCCATAAAAGAAATTAAATGTCGAAACAAATGCAAAAAATAGGGATAACTGATGTTAGTGAGACCCTCAAAAAGGAGAGGTCGCTGTATTCTACGCTGTATTCTACGCTGTATTCTACCCTTTGACAAAATCCAGAAGCTCTCTCACTACAGGAATGGGAAAAGATAAAATTAAATACGGCCATGGGGAAAGAAAAATCTTGACATAGTCGAAATGAAAATATGGGGTATTGGGCTCAAAATTGTTCTGTAGGTAAGCAAAAAAGCAACGGCTTTTATTCACCGAACGATTTTCTGATTGGCCACGGCAGACATGGAGGAAAGAAATGGAGTGTTTCTCTGATACTTAAAGTAGTAGCTTTTTTTCTTGTTTTGTTTACAATTTTCTTTAATTTTCCTTCTACAGATCACGGAAAAAAACGACCTCTTTTTTGAGGTAGGTGATTTTCTCTATCGTTACAATTTGAAATAAAAGTTTGCTTTTCATATTCCAGAATTACCTCTACTGGAGATATATGAACACCTTCAACAGGATCATGCCCTTCATGGAGAGGACTCTGAGCATGCGCAATGGCGGAAATATGTTCTTCATGGGCGACCAGGTAAATACACTACATTTTATCAGGCAATTATTTAAGAAGATGGATATGTTACGAGGTCGCCATAATTCAAGCAACATTCTATAACTTTTCCTTTTATAGGGCGTATAGAAAATTACTAAGATTATGCTTGATTTAAAGGCTATGCCCTTTCAGATCATATGGATGATGAAGCTGTGTCACGAATATTGAATACTTACTTTAATAGCATAAAATAAACCAAAAATCTAAATGCTTTTTTAATCGATTTCACCCAATATAAGGCATTAAAGCCACTATGACGCAAAGGGTTACTCGGCATGGAAGTATTAGAAAACAGAAACATTACTAAGGAGCGAGAACAAAAGAAGATATTTACTTGACCCCCCCCCCACTTAGTCAGGTTGTGACACAAGGTCAGTTTTTAACGTGGGGAACCGAGTATTTTCACTCAGGCCTCGGGTCCAGGCTGGTTTTAGCTGGTCATAGCTTGTTCAAGCTGATCAGAGCTAGTCAAAGCTAGTCATATCTGGTCTTGAATTGTCATAGCTGGCCCAAGCTGGTCAGAGCTGGTCAAAGCTAGTCATAGTTGGTCTTGGATTGTCATAGTTGGTCCAAGCTGGTCAGAGCTGGTCAAAGCTAGTCATAGTTGGTCTTGGATGGTCATAGCTGGTCCAAGCTGGTCAGAGCTGGTCAAAGCTAGTCATAGTTGGTCTTGGATTGTCATAACTGGTCCAAGCTGGTCAGAGCTGGTCAAAGCTAGTCATAGTTGGTCTTGGATTGTCATAGCTGGTCCAAGCTGGTCAGAGCTGGTCAAAACTAGTCATAGTTGGTCTTGGATGGTCATAGCTGGTACAAGCTGGTCAGAGCTGGTCAAAGCTAGTCATAGTTGGTCTTGGATTGTCATAGCTGGTCTAAGCTGGTTAGAACTGGTCAAAGCTAGTCATAGTTGGTCTATGCCGTGATACCACCAACAGAATGACGGATTCCTGTGTCAGGTCATTACGAGCGAGAATAAAAGAAAATAATTAGGAGATAGGGATTGACCCCAGTTTCTGTATGTTTAATGTTTTATTGTATTTTTTTTCGATTTTCGAATATGTTGTGTATTGTGACGCACATAGGATATGTGTTTGAAATACAGGGTGTTCTAAAAGTCGTATGTCCTTTTATATTTTATAAAATCCTCTTTCTGTATGTGACAATACATTATTAAGAAATTTTGTTGTTCGAATCATGCAAAATTTTCCTGGTTACTATTTCTCAAGTGTGGGTTTTCTGCCAATTGTTGTGTGACTTTTAGAACCCCCTCTACTTTAGAAATTCGCAAGAAAAAAATGTGATGTATATTTGAAAGGGGTAATTCTTCTAGCCGGTATTCTTTGGAAAGCTAACTGTTTGAAATAGTCGATGGTGTTGTTCTAGGCTGGTTGCTATCCACGGCTAGGGAGTCAAGGCTGTATTGCTAATAGACCTATAATGATGGGTGAAGTTACGGATATGAAGCTTTTCCATGTGCTTTTTTTTTTTCAAAAGTGAACGGATTTGAACCCGGTTCGCCAAATCCAATATACGCGTTGACAACAGTTCAAACCACCGTTCACCCTGAAGGCTTGGTCATAGAAAATTAGCTATTACAAGGATAATTTAAATGCTATGTTTTTTTTTGCTGTGGAAATTCTGAGAAACCAATGGCAAAATATATTATCAGAATAGGACTATAAGTAATATGATTGGCTGGTGTCAGACATAAATACAGACTAATGTGGAGGTACATGAGCGACGTCTATAGTCTTCGCCTATTGCCTACCACTACGACGAGGACCAGTCCATTACGGTGACCTGCTAGATTGTCCTACTCGGTTACAGTAGTCCACAACCACTTTCCTACTTCGAACAAATATATCCTTTTCCGGAACATATCAGTTTCGCTTACTTTTTGTAATCGTTATCATCCCAAGCAAGGAATTAAAGCCACTAAGACGCAAGGGGTTACGGGGCGTGGAAGAATAAGGAGCAAAAACATTAATGATGAGCAGAAAGAGTAATCAGGAGGACAGTAGATAGCGATTGACATTGCATTTAAATTTTTGCCGATTAAAGTTAGCTTGAAAGCATGGAGTCGGAAGTGATGTTCCAGAAATGAGACGTGCGAGCGAAGAAACTGTTATCATAGAACCTACGGTTATATCTAGCCAGCTCAACTGCAAATAAATGAAACCTCGACGCCAGTCTAGCCCTGCGCTTATATTCGTGAAGTCTACGTACCATAGCGAAAAGCACATCCGAAAATATTTATAGAAAAGGCACAGATGCGGCGGTGGGTAAGTAGCTAAATCCGAGCTGCCTGATCATGACTGATAATATTGCTGATTCTTCTATGGATCGTCTAAAGGAGCTCATGGTAAATAGCAAGGGCACCGTGCTATATAGTGCAGCAATAGTCTTAGCATGGACGAATGGTAGACTTATAGATATGTAAGATAGATTCTGGTTACCTCGATGCCGTATATATTTGCTTACAGCTATATCACGTTGAAACACCGGTTTTCATAGGATCAGCGTATGTAAGCAACGTTGACACCGGTCTGTAGCTAGATGGGTGACCGCTTGGGAATAGCAAGTACTGTTATCTTGCATGTGATAGGGTTGTAATGCATAACGGCTCAGAATTGTGTTTGTTTTATTCACGAAGAAGCAAAATACCCTTGGAAAAGTATGAATCCACCCATTCCTGTCCAGGTATGAATTAAATAGAAAAATTGTATCAGTAGATCATTTTTTTATATCTAGAAAAAATAATTATCTCTAGAAATCTATTCTGACTTGATAAAAAGGTTGATAAGACATAAAAAATAAAGCAATGACATCTATTTTGTTTCATTTTCCAGATGATGTGGTGCGACATGATGTTCTATTGTTGCATGGAGAACATGTTTATGGAAATGCAGTCAATGTTCAGTAACTACCCGAGACTGATGGCTTTGTACAACCGGGTAGCCTCTCATCCAAAGATTTGCGGATACATTAAAAACCGTTGTAATTCTTTGTGGTAAATGAGGACTGCATGGTTTATCCTTTTGTTATTAACATATTCAATGTTGTTTTGTTAAAAATCAAACAATAATTACATTTTAAAAAATAAAAAATAAAATCATGTCTCATTTCTGAATAATTTTCCTGCGTTTTTCTTCAATAATTTTATCACAAGTAAGGCAATAAAGCCACTAAAACGCAAGTTGTTACTTAATGTGAGAGATTATGAGAGAGAAAAAAACATGATTAAGGAGAGAATAAAAGAAGACAGAAGATAACGATTGTCATTGCATTTAAATTTTTGAAGATCAAATTGAGAATATGAGAAAAAAAAAAAAAAAGAAAATTAAGAAGACAGAAGATAACGATTGACATTGCATTTAAATTTTAGAAGGAATTGAGAATATGAGAAAAAAAAAACACTATTAAGGAGAGAAAAAAAAAAACAAGAATTAAGAAGAAGAAGATAACGATTGACATTGCATTTAAATTTTAGAAGATCAAATTGAGAATATGAGAAAAAAAAAAAACACTATTAAGGAGAGAGGACAATAAAAAAACAAAAATTAAGAAGACAGAAGATAACGATTGACATTAAACTTTTGAAGATCAAATTGAGAATATGAGAAAAAGAAAACACTATTAAGGAGAGAGGACAATAAAAGAACAAGAATTAAGAAGACAGAAGATAACGATTGACATTGCATTTAAATTTTTGAAGATCAAATTGAGAATATGAGAAAAAGAAAACACTATTAAGGAGAGAGGACAATAAAAAAACAAGAATTAAGAAGACAGAAGATAACGATTGACATTGCATTTAAACTTTTGAAGGTCAAATTGAGAATATGAGAAAAAGAAAACACTATTAAGGAGAGAGGACAATAAAAGAATAAGAATTAAGAAGACAGAAGATAACGATTGATATTAGATTTAAATTTTTGAAGGTCAAATTGAGAATATGAGAAAAAGAAAACACTATTAAGGAGAGAGGACAATAAAAGAACAAGAATTAAGAAGACAGAAGATAACGATTGACATTACATTTCAATTTTTGAAGATCAAATTATGAATATGAGAAAAAGAAAACACTATTAAGGAGAGAGGACTATAAATGAATAGAAATTACGAAGGCAGAAGATAACGATTGGCAAGGCATTCTAAATAGAAGCTGTTAGAACTTACGATTACATCTAGATATTTCAACTCGCCGCCATGTTCGGTTAAATTCATAAACTCTATGTACCAAAGAGGAAAGTTCAGTTATACATTATTTTATTTTGTTTTAATTTTAAAAGATTTTAATCTCTATAAAAGATTCTAACTAATGAAATTGTCGACGGACTAAAAGCCACGAACAAACAAATATACTGGACTCCATTAAATTTGTCAAAATATTTGGAATAATTAAACACTTTCATGACTTGCCTTCATCATTCCCATGATCAACTGAGATTGTAGGGTCGCTGTGCTAATAGGCATGTGAGCAGTAACCTCTACAGAGTTAAGTTTAATGTAGGTATCCATTCCTGTTTAGTGTGTCTTGCTTAAGTGGATATCACGGAACCTATTTCTCTAGGAGTCAAACTATAGTCAATATCGTCGAACGTTGAAGTGCGCCATTTATTTCAATGTGGGAACCCTGTTTATCCATTGAGATATCTGACCGTAGTCGCTAAAAGAAGGTTCCTCAATCCTTTGAGAGCTCTTGTTTTAAATAGTCAGTCTTTGGCCACGATGATCACCCGGATGGCTTATTAAAGGAAATAGTTTAGACGCCGATGACATCACCATGCAGAGAGTTCTGGGATACATCGAACTAGTACCACTAGGAGAAAGACTGATATAATGTTGAAGCACATGCACAGACATATGTGTTAAAGAATTTCACACCAGTCAAGAAGAAAATTCCACGAAGACGCAAGAGCTTATTGGAAGTGAAAGAAAATGA